GACCTGGATCTTATCCTGCAAGAGACAGAGATATGTTCAGTTGGCTGTGGAGGTAATGTCTTTGATGTTGGGGGATGAATCAAGATCTGCTTGAAGCTGTTCAGCAGGAAGAGAGGCGTCATCTGTTGTGCCATGGTTCTGAGTTTGAGCCTGGAGTGAGCTGTTGATGGAATCCAAGCCCAGATAGGTTGAAGGTTAGAAGTTGTCATGAGAGGGTTGGACTGGCGGAGTCGGATGTGGATGTGGATTCGGGTAGAGTTCCATGGGCAGGGGCATCCGGAGCAGTCGCCGGGGGAGTGGGGTTAGACTTAAGGTTGCTGGCTATTATAGACAGAGTCTCCCAGATTGAGTGGACTGCCATCATTAACTCAGCTGAAGGAATGTCTTGCTCATAAGAAGAGAGAGACTTCTTGTGCTTGGGCCCTGTACAAGAAGATGAGGAGACTTTACGCTTCTTGTCTACAGGTGATGCGATGGTAGAACAGATGGGTAGAGTCCGTAGAGCCGGGGCGTCAGAAGCCCATCCAGATTACAGATCATACAGATCATGTTATTTTGGCTGAGAATGCTTTGAAAGAGTAAAAGAATGTACACGTCTTAATTTAAGCCAAAGTCTATTTTAGAAGTTCTATCCATGTTGACATCTGTTTAAGGTTCTGTTGTTTCCAGATACAAACACCATTTCTTTTGCGATATCTTCCACAATCCGTCCAAACATTCTGACTTCCTAGTCCCAGAAAACTGAATGAATTCAACTTGCTTTATGAGTTTCCATTGATTTGGAAGTTTACCATTTCCATATAAAAGATCTCTGGCGACTTGTCTACATTAAGTAAAACTTAATTTAGGAAGACATGATTCCTAGGATTACTTGTATAATATTATTTTACTTAGGTTTTTATGATATATTACTTCTAGCATACATTGAATAATTACATTCCCTTGACTAAAGTGAAGAGAGGGATATTTCCCTCTTGTACAAGTTAAGTCTTGGAATTTGCAATATTCTTCTGTGTTTTATTACCTGATAAGTTTCATTTGACTTGATCCACCTTTATCTAGTTTTTACCATAGTTCCATATATTCAGTAGTTAGTTTTTCTTTATTCTATTTCAGTTCTTATTCCTTTTGCTTTAAATCGATTTCATTGCCCAGAACTTAGACATTTTAATGTTTAATCTTAATTAACTTTTACCTCCTGATTATGATTCACTCATATTTCCCGGACTCAGACTTCCAAAGTTTGACCGCAACAGTTGTAACCTTGTAATTCCTAAGACACCGGTCTTGGTATAGTGTCCTTGTAGCACCTTAGTCATTTCTGTGTAGACCAACCCACACACACAAATGAGGTACCCAGGTGGACGAAGGCAATGACCGGCACTGGTAACCATGACAACCTTACACACAGTGTAGTGTTTTAAAGGGAAATTCACTTTTGATAGTCCATAAAACTGTTTTACTTAGTATAGTTAGTATTTCACTCCACTTGGCTACTGGACTCCACAGAGACTGTTCTGTTGTCTCTGTGATCTCTCCTTGCATTGAACCTGCCACAATTACATATTCATCCCTGTCCTGCTCTAGGCAAAGACACCGCTAGTACTGAGGCACTAAGGTAACCTCAGTGAGCCTATTGAGCTGCATGTACTGCTGGACAGGGAGTGACTTGAAGCGGAGTCGCATGCATTGTGTTCCCCACACCTGATTTATCCAAGCCAGGGAAGGAGAGACTGTGCAATCGAGTCCGACACACCATCTGCACATAGCCAACGGTCCTCAGAGTTCATCCAAGCCCCCTTGAAACGCAAGTCCTTCAGCTGCAGGCTCCCCAGCTTAGTGGGGAACCTTTGTCTCACATTCAGTTTAAATTACACAGTACAAAAAAATGACCTAGTCTCGTGATTATATGGGTATACTCTACATTATCAGACATATTGCAGAAAAAAAAATCCTCCATCCTTGAACTACAGGGTTAAGGTCCTAAACTAAGAGTTTCCCACTGGGTAAAGATGGAAATGACGGTGACCTCAAGGATGTCATAACTGATTTTTTTGTAATAATCTTTTATTATTTTTCATATTATAATATTCTGTAGGACCCAGACAAGCTGTTTTATCACAGCTGAGCGCTGCTGACAAGCCCCAGCGAGGGTCTGTCACAGATATAGTATCTCAAATTGTTTCTTCCTCTTCTTCAAACTCTTCTAAAAACAAAAACAAACAAAAAAAGCCTCTGTAAACGATTTTCTCAAGCAGGATTTAATGGCCACTGTGCAGGCTTGCATATTCACCAAATCTGTGTTTGGAAAACTGTTGAAAACATGATGACATCATCACACTTTATGATTGTTTCACACACTAAAGAAGGACAAGTAACATTAAATTCCTTGGGTAGATTAAACTTAAGCTATTGCTGATCATATATTTGAAGATACCACAGGATGAAATCATCAGCTGAATTTTTATTTAATTTTGAATTTTGTTTATCATATATATAGACAAAATAGAGCCTGAAAGTAAAAGGTCATGCAGCGAGCTTCCGGAACCCTGGCATGGTCTGCCTATGGGAATTTTACGTTTTATTTTACGATAATTTTTGGAAGAATAATTCCGTACTGAAACCACCCCATGAAACACTCATGTTGGAATTTTACCTGTGTCTTCCTAAAGTAATATTTTGGAAAAAGTCACCAGGAGATGGGTAAAAAAGGAATGTTATTAACAACCTTTCATCCCCAGTGATATCGTACCAAGGTCTCCTTGTTCATACACGTTTGTTTTCACTCCGCGTGCTTTCTTGAAAACGAGATTGTAAAACCTTGCAAAGATTTACCTACCTGCAGTCGATGGGTTCCAGATTCCGTTGAGTTGACATTACGCAGTTGTTGTTAGCAAAGATTAGATAAAATATTAGAATCTTTCGTAAAAGTAGAATAATGCTTTGTGTTTATTACCTTATCCAAGTGTGTAAAATATTTGATCTGTTATCGGCTTTTACCCACAGACAACCATAAAATTTCAAACCGTAAATATTCATTGCGTACGAGACTGCCACATTGCACTGTTCTTCATATATTTAGATTTTCGGACGTGATGGCAGTTTTTGGCAGGATACCTCTCTTTTAGACCAGGTAATTAAGCATATTTTAATATTACTTTGTTAAAATATTTTTCAAAGTCCTTTTTCCAAGTTGGACTTTTTAAGAAGAAACTGAACAAAAAAATATTACAAATTCTAAAATCTTTGCACATTATTTTTCCTATCCAAGGGTTCCGGAGGCGCGCCATCAGGGGTCCACTTTCAGGCTCTATTGGACGTCATGACCTCATTGACTGCTTTTAAAATTATTTTTTGAGTATTGAATTTACATAAGTCAAATTTACATTTTCCGCTCATGCTTTCTGGCATTTTTCCAAGTCCAATGATTTTCTAACTTCAAAGATATTGAATTCTGTTAAGAATAGGTACATGAATCCCTTACTTAATAGGTTTCATGCATGCAACAATTTTGAAAAACACCTTTATATAATTCAAAATTTGAAGACATACACATTCGAAGAGGATAAAATTGGTCATTTTCACATACAAAGTCCATGAATACGGCTAGGCGGATATGTGTATTTTCACACACCCCCCCCACACACACACAAGGTAGATTTATGTTGCCACCGAAAAACCATGGCTCAAAAGCCATGTATTTTGTTCTTAAGCAGTCATACAAGTAATTCATTTCAGTGGAAAAATTACACCTTTAACATTTGTGTAAAAATGATGCAACAATAGAACATATACTGGTAAATGTTTTGAATTATTTTTCAAAATGTAGTTAAATTAACACAAAGCAATAAGGAACAAAAGTGGATGCCCCTTGAAGAACACCTGGCAGTTCACAGGCTAATTTTCTTGTACACAAGTCTGAAGGGCCTAGTAACTTTCCAGCATGATAAACTTCCCTAAACATCCAGTAGGTTAACTAGAAGCTGAGTACCAAACTCCACATTCATGACATTCATTCCTCTTCACGCCAAAAAGGACTGCTACAAATACTCACTTATTCTACGTACAGTCCTTGAATGGAACCAACTCCCTGACTTCAGCTTGGAAGTTTCCACTGTCAGTACTTTTAAATCCAGTCTACTGACCCTGGATATCATGGCCTTTTTAAATTGCTCCCAGCCTCTAGACTAAATTGTTGTCTACTGCCAACACTATGCCGTTGTGTTTATAACCCTCCAATGGTGCTTGCGTAGTATGGAGCAGAAGCAGAAGAACTTATGTCCCCCAAAAATAAATGAATAAATAAAATTGAATATCAAGAACAAAAAAAAAAAACCCTACAACAGCTTTGCTAAATCAAAATGCATGTTTTTGCTAGCACATGTACTTACATCAAGGACCATGCTTTTCTGATATTTTGACGACCACAATACATATGAAGGCATTATGGAAGCTTGTGGTGGAAACTATGATCTTTAAAAAGACATTATTTATGAACCTTTTTGATTTATAAGATCATTAGTCTGTTAGTCTGTAAGTTTGAATCTTTTGAGATAATCTGACACTGTCAATATAACAGACACACCTGCACCATGAATACATTCTCAATGCATATGCCAAGTTTCAAGTAGATCTGAATTAGAAAGTCAAAGTACACAATGAAAAAACAATAAAAACTCAAAAATTAGTAAAATGATCCAAGTGAAAACATCATTGTTACACTTCATAAACATATATTATCATGTGTGACCAAGTTTGTTTTGACTGAAATTGTATAGATGATGCCATGATGTCACAAGTTCTAAAATTCTAATCAACATGCATGTCTATGAAGATTATCAAGAAATATGCAAAATGGAATTTTTAATTATGTGAATCTGGTTGGCTAGAACAAATCAGCATGTTTGAATAAAGTGGATTTTAATGTATATTCTAATATTGATAGAGGCGTTACAGCTTTAGAAATATTAAAAGACAGACTTAAAATGATATTAACTTACTTTGTCTTTTTGTTCACGGACACTATCCACAGCTGCTTCCTTGTATTGAGTATCTCTAGCAGGGTCATCAATGGACAACCTATTGCCAACACTCTGAAAACAATTTGTTTTTATGATAGAATTTTGAAACATTCAGTTGGCTTGTATTGTTTTAGTATTTTAAGTAACCGTTAAATTTACCATTAAAATACCCCACAGAAACAAACTACATGGGATAACTGACTAAGTGCTTATAAATGATTATGAAGATGAACAAAGAAATTGACGGGAGCAGGAGTTGAACCTGCAGCCTCTGGAATTCTATACCAGTGTTCTATCAACTGAGCTATCCAGCCCTACGTTGGTGGCTGGTTCAAATCCCGCTCCAGTCAATTTCTTTGTTCATCTTTATAACCACGAAAACAAATTAGAACTAGGGTTTTGATAAAAAATGCTCACAGAAAATTCTCAAAATTGAAGCTTTGCAAACTTGTAGTTTCTCCTTTTCTCTTTTAGAACAAAACACCTGACAGTCATATCCCTGGACTTGCCGTTTGCTTCATTTTCAGGATTACTAATTTAGGGCCTTCAGCACTTTGCAGTATGTGGCTGATATCCATGTAGGAAAGTTAAGTGGGGACCTGCTTGACTTTATCCATAATGGAATACAGAACACTCTCTATGCATGGCAGCTCCTCATTTGACAAGGTGAATGTCACGCAGAAATTGCGCGCTTTGCACTTGCATGCAATCAATGGGATTTGTCTTCCCTGCGACTGTGCCACCCTCTTTGTCACAATTCGATAATAACTCAGTCTGCAACTTTCCTTTCCATCCAAAATATGCACTGCACTACATTCTCCTCTAATTCATCAAAATTATCCATTTAGATTGATGTGTTTTAATCATAGTTTGCCAGTTATTTTCTATATATGTCAAAAGAGCTACATAGAGCTTTTATTTAAAACACATACATGCATAGGCTGACATATTTGATGCACATCACCAAAAAATGTGTGCTGACTGGCTGGGTGGATATGTTGAGTTTTGGTGCAAACACGTGGTGGCGCTTGTTGCGTTCTGCTGGAAAATGCCATCTTGTGATATGTATTTCATGGGTTTTGTCGGATTTTGCTTGAATGCTGATTTTCAATTCGTGATCCTCAGTGCACAAAGTATTATATGCAATGGATCTATCAGATTTGTCAGAAGTTGCATTTATTGGTTTTGCAAATGAACTCTTCACATGTATATCTATATGAAATTAGTTCTCTTAATTTAAAATGTAGCTTTGACAGGACACACTGTACATGTATTTCTCATATCCATCAAGCTCCAACAGTTGCATTTGTAATATTATGATGTCACACATTATCAAACAAAATTTGAATCAAGCTTTTGTTGATTTTTGTACACTGTGTATGTGTTATTCAAGTGCCAGAGAACCTTAATAAACATGATTGAGTTCATCAGAATTGCCGCAGTATATATTCCATTATGATTTGCTGACATTAACCTATTTCTCGTTTGTAAAAAAAAATGGATTTTAGAAATTTGTAGAAACCATACAGCATCTCTAAGTGTGTTACAACTGTGTATCAAAGTAACATAAATGAAAACTATGTAAGTTTCTTGAAGTAATAAATGCGAAGATTTCCTTCAAGGGAAAACGTTTGTCAGCCATCAGTTTTATTGTATTATTTCTGTTAAATTGAAAGTACTTCTTTAATTAATACAGAAATGATATTCTGTGTCAGTGGCATACTCCTACCTGCTGTGGAAAAAAAGAAGTGTATGCTCCCTTCCATAGGTCCATTGGTGTGCCAACTTTGAGATGATGAACATCGACTTCAGACATCGGAGGTAAACCTGTTGAGAATCAAAAGACTATGCTTGATGGATATGAATAACATTTTTTTAGTAAACATGATGTATACATACATCAGGCCCCACCAAAGAGTTCCGCTTCTGATTATATGCCTTTCCAAATACGGCCTGCAGGTCAGACATTTTATTTCGGACAATTTCTTTTAATGGGGACATTCAATTATGTTAGAATTACTGCCTTCACCATTTCCATGTGTGCTATGAAAGCTAGAAAAGAATACCGATAAAAGTGATAACTCAAATCAATACTTTCCTTACTAATAATGTTTACACTCCATATATGAAATATATGAAATGTGCATGCCAATATGTACAACTATGGTACAACACTATTTAATCACAATGGGAAACTAGCCAAAGGTGTCCCCATACTTTGAGGTAGGCATGTGTGATGCATTTTGTTGGTTGAGCGATGAACATTGTGTTGCAGCAGGAAATTTTGTGGAAAGGTATTCTCTTCTAGTTCAAGTAGCACAACTTCAAGATAAATTCATAAGTGGTGTTCTTCAAACACTGACAATACATACATTAAGAATAAGTTCTGTCAATTAACTTGCAGAAGTCTCTGTTGAAACTTTTCAACCTGCAACTGCATGCAGTGCACATTACAGTGTACATCGATTGGTTGCTGCACCCATCATGCCTTCTTTGACAAGTTTGGTGTGTAGCCAAGCAGGAACCAGCATAACATTGCTCCAATGAGCATTACTAAGCATGTTTTCATCATTTCCACAGTGAACAGTGAAGGAAACTTGTACATTTAAAAAATGGAATTTTCTAAATAGAGAATGAAAGTTAAGGCAATCAAATGTAAGCATTTATAATAATTATGATCTGGATTACCTGGGGATACCTCCTGCATACATAGATGTTATTAGCAAGAATGTATAGTTCAAGAAGACACAAATGTGACCTGGTTGGAACATGAAATTATTGCAATATATTAACCACTACCAGCCGGGGACTCCGAAATCGGAGCCGTATGGTTTATATGTGTGGCCGGGGTCTCCGACCTCAGACAAAGGAAACAGGGCCCTGTAACAAAAGACCGTACTCCGAACAAAAGACCAGGCTGCTGGGCATTACCGGCATTTTTCGCTCTCAAAAGTGGTGATAATCCAGCGATATTTTGAAACCGTATACCAGGGTTTGGGGCATTTAGAGCAAGCGGATTACCACC